CTGTTTTCCATCAGTATGGCTGATGCTAACCTCCAGGAAAACGACTCGTCGTCCCGACTCGTGCTGAAGTTCATGAATTGAAAAGACTATATGAATCCATTAAGAGATCAGCTGGAGATTAGAAGGACAAAGGGAAACAGCAGATAAACTATCTTACTAGCTTGTGTAAATGGATGACTGAACATAGAGTTGGAGGAATGGTTAAAATACATTTCTTTCTACTTCCTATAAAGAACAGGAAGATATGGAGAGCCGTGATCTCTGATGTAACTTCATCCTGCTCAAGATCACACATCTGTTTTTATTTTCTTTTGGTCAGATGCTATCAGGTGATCAAATAGGGAGAGAGGACACTGTCACACGTGAATTCATGTCACCGAAAACATCAGTACAAATGGACAATTTAACTCATGCTAAATTCGAACTGATTCTTGGCTTGTCTTCGAAACTTTCTCTTCTCACGCGCATAAATCAGACTTACCAAATATATAAAAATAGTACTCAAAAGATAAGGGAATTTAAACATTGTAAGCTAAACGAATGTAGCACGGCCAAATGTCGCTCTTGTTATTGTACTGCTATTTATGAGCAGTACATGACAGTTAATTTCAAACATTTCAAACATATTTCGTATATAGTCCGTTCGATATATCAAATGTTCCTTAGGTATTAAGTATTTTTCTTGCAAAACTTAACCGAAATTTTAAATCGATCTCTCTATCTAAATAAATAAATAAACTAACTTTCGCCATAGGAAAGTTTAGTTTGTGTTATGGCATATCATCTTCAATGGGTTATTTAATGCCGACAAGATTTTATTTATTGGTAATATTTTTTTTCTAAAAATGTTTTGGTGTTAATATTTTTTTCCAAAAATATACTGCTGGTAATAATGTATTTCTAGTATTTTTTTATAAAAATGTATGCTGGTAAAATTTTTTTCAAGAAATGTATTGCTGATATAAAAACCTATTTTTACACTTACAGTATTTTGATCCAAAATTGCGGTTTGACTATTTGTCCATAGCTGGGACCCTAACAGCTGCTACCACCCAGTGTTAGCGGTGACCTGGGAACACCAGCACTTAAGAGTTGTTTCCTGCTCCTCAAACCTTCTGATAAGTGGTCTTGCAGTCGGATGTAGTTTATCGTCATACCCAGGGCGCTTCATTGGTGTGTGTGTGGTGTCTTACCTCTCTACAGAGGTGAAGTCGGTGTATTCTGAAACCTTAGTTGATAGGGCAGTTTTAAGCGTATATAAAATATTTAATAGGCGTATAAAATTACAATGACCCGAATCAAGTATTTGAAGGATCCATTTCATGTACATTCATGTTGTGTGAAGATATATTAAACATGACGCCACATATATGATAAACATATAAAAAGATACCTTCCAAAAGCTAAGCAGTGTATCCAGAAACAGGAAAACATCCATTATAAACAAAGAAATGTGTGCTGAACCCTTATGAGATATATATCCTTCGATATGGCAGTGAATTCTGAACAATCTCTTCAAAGATGAAGTAGAGACTTGAAGCAGCAGAAATGTGGTTCTACAGAAGAATGCTGAGGATACCATAAACTGAATATGTGAGTAACGGCGGAAATGGAAACCTATATTTAATATCAGAAAGGCACATAATGAGGAAAGAGGGCTTGGAAAGTCTGATACTCACAAGGCAGTTTGAAGGAAAGAGAAACAGAGACCAGCGAATAATCTACTTAGAGAGCTTGAGCAAATGGATGGCAGAACAAGGTGTAAGAGAATTAACAAAAAGACAAAATTTATTACGTGTAATGAAGAACAGGGAAATAGTGGAGAGCTATGATCGCCTACGCCCTGAAGAGAAACAACAGATTATGAAGCAAATAACTGGAAAAAAAAAACAGCGTTTTAAAATTGTCAGGTGGTAGGCAATAATTTAGTTTTAATCGGATGCAAGTTATGGTTAAAGAGATATCACTTTCTAATTCAAGTCGGGGGAGAAGAAGCTGACGTAAGTCGCCACGGAAAGGCGGGCCTGCAGAAAGCAAAGTGACAGCTCCAACAGACAAGACGCAGAGGACACATGCGACCCTTGTAACAGAGATTGTCACTCTCGCATTCGGGCCTCTACAGCCAAAGAGGTCGATGCTCTAGCCAAGCACACAACTAGGATACAAACCGTGGTCCACCCGGACAGACGGAGGCCTACAATACTTTCTAACTACCCCGGCTGGATGTACACATTGTTGAGTGGAGATCAATATAGATTTTGTCGTCTATTGACAAGAGGATGCAATATATATATATATATATATATATATATATATATATATATATATATATATGTGTGTGTGTGTGAGTGTGTGTGTGTGTGAGAGAGAGAGAGAGAGAGAGAGAGAATGGATGTTCGCACAAAGTGTTATGCCTCAGCTGCTGATTGACATTGTTGATTTATTAAAGCTCCGTGGATGCATAAATGAATTTAAACATGTTAGATTAAGATCTGTTTCCTACTTGTTCTTTATCTGATCATTTTGTCAGATTCCCACCCATACTTGATCTATATTTGATCTTCTGCAAACATACACACACGCACACACACACACACACACACACACACACACACACACACACACACATATATATATATATATATATATATATATATATATATATATATGTTCGTGTGTGTGTACACAATATATTTGTAGAATACGTACAAGATATGGTTTAATGAAAAATTAAACCTAAACAAAATTTTGCAAAACATTTTGCTATGTCTCACTAACCTTTACACATTTTAGCGCCCAGAATGTTTGTCATATTTGAATATTATCTGTTACTTCATTACAAATGGCTCTTATCTAACGAATAAGAAATGGCTACACAAAATACAATTAATCTGCGCCTTTTTGATTTTTATAGTTTTTTATCATTTCTATATTTATCTTTGACGAAGCTTTATGGAAGTGAAATAGATTAAGACTTGTTTTCTACTTGTTCTTTATCCGATCATTCTGTTTGATTCCTACCATGTTTGATCTATATTTGATCTTCTACTTATATATATATATATATATATATATATATATATATATATATATATATGCTTTACTCGTTTTGGAGGGTTTTTCTTGGGATGCTGAGATTGGATTCTAGACGATTTTTTCGCCTCAATTACATGTTCTTAGTTCTTTCTTTTTTTATACCTTATTTTTCTTTGGGTATTGGTTTGTTTATTTACAAGCCAAAACACCTAATACAGAACGACATAATTATATATATAATATATATATATATATATATATATATATATATATATATATATATATATACGTTGTGTCTTAGGTAGCAATTTTTCATTAATGCATGTTTCATTAAATATTGTAGACAAGTTTTGTCTATTTATTTTAAGTAAGTTTCTTTCATATTGTCTGATAATCTTAATCGCATTATCGTTGAAAGACAAAAGGAAAACACCATATTGATACATGTATGAATCCAATCTAAGCTTTCGGCTTACACAAATCATTATCAAAGATGACAATTTCTATAAATCAAAAAACAACGAACGAAACAACAATGATAGTCCCCCCCTTGCTGCATGAAAATTTCAAGTAACGACAAACTCGTATATACGAGACGCGGAAGCGAAAATCGCGTCGCAGCTCGTGACGTCACACATGACCATGCGCTGTACCACTGAGTACGCGGGCATGCATGTTGTTTTAAATGTCTAAAAATGTTAGTGTTATCATTTAAATGTAGAGTCAAGCGCCCTGAAAATGTGTGTGTGTCTGTGTGTGTGGCAGATATTAAGACAGAGAAATTTATATTTAGATAAGCAACAAGAATTTCACGTTAGTGAACTTCTTTTTTTATTAAAAATATTGATAAAAATCATTGATGTTTGCAACGTATTAATATGCAAAGTGGAACATCAATATTTATCAAAAATTAAAGTCGAAATATATAGGCCCAAATAGAATATACTAGATAAGAGATGATTAGATATAAGCGAATCAATTATTACATTATAGACTAATAAGGGAAATGTGTTATTCTATAATTATCTCTCTTTCCAAATCATAATTTTATTTTATCTTCTTCTCTTTCGAATTTAACAATGTTTAACACAGCTATATTGCTTCAATTATTTTCACATTCTCATATATATCTTCTTTTATGGTAACTCATGGTTTCGATTGAATTAATATCTAGAGAGTCAAGAGTGAATTAATTCAAAGTCTTTAAAACATTGTGAGTAATTTGAGTAATAGACAATTCTGCTTTCCACTTTCTGTGCTATTGGAAGGCGTCTGTCACCGGTATAGTTCAACGGCGTTACTATAGTTGTATCTGTGATGACAAAGTCTCTACTACAACGAGCATTCGAAGGCGTCTGACAGCGGTATGGTTCAACGGCGTTACTATAGTTGTATCTGTGATTACAAAGTCTCTACTACAACGAGCATTACCAAAATGACAACGAGTATTTTTTGACATCAAAAAAGTAACAACGAGTGCTCCATGACCTCAGAAAAGAACGTAAAATGAGAATGATTGGTTATTTTTTTTACGGCTTATCAAGCTTTCACGAGTTTTTTAAAGTGGGGAAATACTTTTAGATTGTAAGAATGATTTGGTGATAATATTTATTGCACACATATATATATATATATATATATATATATATATATATATATATATATATACATGCTAATAATTAACACATACTTAAGAAAGAGAAGTGAATACATAATTTACACAGGGGTATTTACGCGTAAGGGGATATAACGAACCCGACAGGAATTAGAACTCTGCTCTCCGATTAATACTTCCGAGCAATTATTACACCACCCACGCATACAAGCTTACTACACCTGGTATTTGAAGCGGTCACCCATCTAGCTACTGACCAGACTCAACGTTGCTTAAATTCGGAGATTTACAAAAACCGGTGTTTCAAAATGACATAGCCATAAGCCATTCCTCTCGCACTTCCATGCTTACTTCACCTGGCATTCCCAAGCAGTCACCCATCTCGTACTGACCAGACTCGACGTTGCTTAACTTCGGCGATCGTACGAAAACTTGTGTTTTAACAGGACATAGCCATAAGCCATTCTGCTTGCACTCTGAAGCAGTCACCCATCTCGTACTGACCAGACTCGACTTTGCGTAACTTTGACATTGTACGGGAACAGTGTTAAAACCTTACTACAGTCACCATAATACCTCAAAGTCTCTAGGTAGTCCTAACTAGTTTCCATATGTACAATTTGTTTTTGGGGTGGGGAGGAGGATAAAATGACAACATTTAGAAATAAAATCCTCAATAGAGGAACGTAATATTTATTTTGTTGCAATACAAAATGTGGCACAAGGCCAACTTTATATGGCTGTAAGCCTCGTAAAATTGGAAGTAATAAATGCAAATTATGAGGATATATAATATAGATAACAGTTAACCCTAGACTTGAAAGGATTAAGATCGGCGAAGATTTCTTTTGTGAGTCTGTTCCATAAAGAAATGACTCTTCCAAAGACGTGACCCGAATTAAACTAAAGGAATATAGATGCTTCCTTCATCTGTAAAATTAGTAAAATCATTTTTCCCAATCTTGACAATGCATCGGTATTACATTAATTCCTGACCATTGACACTCCCTTGTGTCTTTATTTCAAATGTATTTTTTAGTAAAATTCAACTAAAACATTTTACAATACATTTGTATAGTAAAACTATATGAATCCTTTGTACATAAATCTTAGTAATAAATTTACATTTAATTTTGGTGTTGAAGATCGTGGAGCTACTTCTTAATTGCTGGTGTCCCCAGGTCCACCCTGACCCGTGGTGGTAGCACCTGTTAGTCTCTCAACTATGTGCAAATAATTAACCCCCAAAACTGGTGTCATAACACTATGAAAGTGTAAAAATAGGTGTAATAATTTTTGTAAAATATTATTACCCACAATAATTTTTTCAAGAAAGAATTATTACGAGCAATAGATTTTTGAAGGAAAAACATTACGAGCAATAAAAATTTTGTCAGTATTAAATAACCCAATGAGGTTGATATACCGTGAAACAAACCAAACCAAACTATGCATAATAAACTGACCAACCTGTAAAGGTAGCATCAGTTGTCGACTCTTGACTGTGCATTTCAATGCATTCCCATAATAAAATCATAGTGGAACAAACTGTTACCACTTTGGGCTGACCTCAATGTCAACTTTCATATTTACATATGCACTATCCCTGATATTTATTGAGCATTCTTAGTCATAAATATAGCATACACTAAAACTGTATTTTATCACACACACACACAGACATATATATTTTCCTGATTTGAGCACCCCGAGGTGGTGTAATGATTAGCAATCTTGTCTCGATGGAGCAATTATGACTGAGTAGCGAGTTCGATTCTCACTGGAAACCCATACTTTTGGCCACTTCTAAGTTATGCTTGGAAAATCACTATATTTCTTCGATTTTCTTTTGCAAATTATTGACTGATGGGAAAATATGCAGGTATAATATCTTGTTTTGTCATATAAGGTTATATTTTTCGAGGTGCCAAAGAGGAAAGCAATATTATTCTATTTTAAAACAAAAATGGTGTTCAAGGCCAAAAGGCGTCAAGTGGGAAGTGGTCTTCAATCCTTCTTAAACTTAGCTAGCCACGATTACTGACGCAAAGATACTACATTATTTCTTACTCCAGAACAAAACATTCCTGCTTACCATTCTTATTACAGTCAGCATAATGTCTCAAAGTGTCTATGTAGTCCTAACTAGTTCCCAGATGTACAATTTGTCTGGGTGGGGAATTCAAATAACAATATTTACAAATGCAAGTCATTATGAATATTTACTGTAAATACAATTTATATACAAGAAACTAAATAAAATTGTGTTAGCAATAATAATAAAAAAGAAAACACAATGCTTAATTGACACAGAAAAAGTAGTTAACTAGACGAAATTAATGCGGGACAAGGTAATTAATAACACTCAGGCAAACACACATTATAGAGAAAAATATGTGATATTTATTTTGAAAACTACAAGGCCAAAAGAAGGGATAGGGAAGGCTGATTTTCATTCTGTCTTACTTAACTGACCCAAGCATACTACATTATTCCTTACACTCAAAACAACAAATTCTTACTTAGCAACCTTACTACAGCCACCATAATACCTCAAAGTCTCTATGTGGTCCTGAGTAGTTCCCATATGTACAATTGATCTGGGTGGGGGTGGAATTCAAATACAGCATTAAAAATGAAAAAAATCTTGTCTGTGGTATTTAATGAAAACATACATATATATACTTATTTTCATCCTCAGACGCTGTATCACAGCTCATCAGGGTAGCAAGACATCCGGTTCGCTCTAGCTAGGGTCGAAACCCGACTGAATTTGGGTTAGTCGGAGATTCTATCACTAAGCCGTTGGCGCACGGCAGGGATGAAGGTGAATTTTAGCCTATTTATTTTTAGGTAAACCCAAAGTGACTGAGAGAACTCGATTCAATTTACCAAAGAGTCTTGCATTATTAGCCGTAATAGTCACTGTTTACAAACCCACACTTCCTCCATAGAGAGCTCAACCAAAATAATTTTTCACACACACACACACACACACACACACACACACACATACATACATATATATATATATATATATATATATATATATATATATATATATATATTATATAATTTTATCATATAGACAAAAAAAGTTTACACTACGAAGATGCAACTTCGTTTCGGTGCATTACAATTGTACCTTGACTGGTGAGAACCAAATATCGCTAACCATTTTCGGTTCAAACCAGTCGAGGTGCAACTGAAATGCACCGAAAACAAGTTGCATGTTTGAAGTGAGTAAACTGTTTTTGTCTATATGATAAAATTATAATAAATATATATATATATGTATATGTGTATGTGTGTGTGTGTGTGTGTGTGTGTGTGTGTGTGTGTGTGTGTGTGTGTGTGTGTGTGATAATATTATAATAAATAATTATCGTTCTACTATCGGTATCGAGCCCTCTTTTCAATTAATGCTGTGAACGTTATAATATATATTTTACTTTCGTTCTCATTGCATCGGATATATATATATATATATATATATATATATATATATATATATATATAGAGAGAGAGAGAGAGAGAGGCAGAGAGAGATATAGACGGAGAGAAAAAGCGAAAGACAAAAAAGTTTAGGTCTTGTCCAAATTCCCCCCAGATAACATATTTCTCCAGTACATCCAGTGTGTTTTCCATGTAAGAGCGTAATGTCCGAAGATGTAGGTGTTCAACTTGTCCGAAGGTGTAAGGTATAAGTGAACTGAAAATAATATTTAAATATTGCTTAAAACAAATACTTTTAGAACAATGTGTAGACGAACATCTTTATACACCCAGATATACACACATGAAATCACACCCACATATATATGTATGAATAACGCTAGGTGACTCATACTTTCGGCCTTGTGCCACATCTACGCTTGGAAAAACACTATATATGTATTAATACCGAATGACGGCGTGAAAGAGGAAAAGAGAGAAAATGAAAAGCAAAGACAGAAAATGTACTTTTTCAGGAACCAATGAAAGATCATTTTGCTTTTCTTGCTTCACTGCAAGCAGCAAACGCGTAACCCGTATTGGGAAGAATTTATTTTCAACTCTTCCATTGGCGAAGAAACTTTTTTTTTTTTTTTTTTGGCGGTGTCATCATTCTTTCAAAGTTATAAATACTCCGGGGAAGAAATTGGATGTCATTTCCAGACATTACCATTTCGGACCTTTTATTTATTTATTTATTTTTTCGGTGTGCATGTCTTTCTGAATTACAGAATTAGAACAGTCGGTTAACCCGTTATTCCTTTTGAGTACAGGTCGAAAGAAATTTGAAAATATTCACTATATTTGTTGGGTCGTGGTCTTGTTATTTTCAAGTAGAACATATCTGTACTTTCATTGATCAATCTTCTTAAACGAAAAGACAGAAGAAAGATGTAAGCGTCAATTGTAGAAAGAATGAAAGAAATGTTTAGGAAGGGTGACACCAAAAGACGAAAGTGCATTGGAATGGCGAGAGATGCCTTCTAAAATCTTAGAAAATTATTCAGAATTAAGAAAATTTTTGTAGAAACAAAGAAAAGAGTACTGATCTTTTATGTAATAATCATCCATCAACAGGCCTACCCAAACCCGGATCGAAGCTAAGAAAATTTTCGATGAGAAACGTTATTAACATTAAGTTTTAACTGTGTACCAAATGTATCTCTTGTCAAAAATTACGCACATAGCATACTTAGAGGATGTTGACTATGGCTTCTGGACGGATTTGACCGATCGAACATTTCATCTAGAAAAATTTGGCTTGAAGTATGCTGGGAAATCTCCTTACAGATGGAGATGAGACTTGAAGCAACAGAAACAAAGAAAAGAATACTGAAGTGTTATGTAATATCAGTCCTTATATATGGCAGTGAATGCTGGAAATTTTTCTCAAGGATGATGAAGAGACACGTCCAGTTTCTGTTGGTGTCATATCAGTCCTGTGTTTCTGTTGTTTCAATCTTTCTCCATCCATATGCCTTTATTCTTTCTGTTGCTTCATGTCTCTTCGTCATCTATGAAAATTGTTCAATATTCACTGGAATGATGAAGAGACATTTCAGGTCTCTATTTTTCGTTTCTGTTCCTCAAGTGTCTTCTTCATCTAAGCCAGCATTCACTTAAGAGGACTGATATTACATAAAACGTTTCATCTCTAAGGAGATTGTCCAGCATTCACTGCCATATAGAAGGACTGATATTATAAAAACTTCAGGTTTTCTTTGTTTCTGTTGCTTCTACATCTCTAAGGACGCCAGCATTCTGCCATATAGGCTGATATTATATAAAACTTCACTAATGTTTTCTCTGTTTCTCTTGCTTCAAGTCTCTTCATCATCCTTGAGGAAATTGTCCAGCATTCACTGCCATATATGAGGACTGATATTACATAAAACTTTAGTACACTTTTCTGTGTTTTTGTTGCTTCAAGTCTCTTCTCCATCCGTAATT